AATAATAATAATAATAAAATGATGGGCTGTGTAGTTGCAATAAAAAGTAATTGAAATTAAAATGAAGTTAACAATGTCTTGAACTGCTTCACCTAATAAGAATATAATAATAAAATAATGTGTTTTGGAGTTTACGATAAAAAAGTAATTACGATTACAATCAAAAGAATGATAGTTTTTAATATCTGAAAATTGTAAATACTAAAATTTACCTAAGTCTAGGCTCTCTATCTAAAGTTAAAAGGTTTCTGTTAAAATTAACATTTTATGAGTAATGAATGACAATTTTTGATATGAAAGAAGCCTGATGCGGTAGGAAGTAAAAATTATGTTGATTAGGAGGATGGATAAAGATTGACCCGGGCCTGATTGAAGAGATTCAAATTGTAACGTCCACGGAAGCACCCACAGGGTGAGTCTCTTCCACAAAGTAGCAATTCTTGAAAAAAAAGCTTAGTGGGACTTTCTAATTATCTTTGGAACACGGAGAAAATGAGAATGATTCAACTCCGTGAAAGTAGCCAATCGTGTCCTAGATGTAAAGGTCTGAACTGGTGATACTAAAGAATAGAACTCTTCTAAGCATTAGCCGTGGGAGTATAGCGATAATATTAAACTGCTGCTGAATTTTTAGTCTAAAATTCACGCAATATAAGGCTCGAGGGTAATTCAAGGTAGAGTATTACAATGATGATAGTAAGTATGAATGAGGTGTTTGATATGAATGAAAGAGTAAGAAGTGAAGATTATGGTGACGAGAAAGAGAGATAACAATTGGCCCTTGACCTGAAGAGATTATGGTTGCAGTGCTCAGGGAAGCACACACGTTAGCTGCTCCGAGAATGAAGCAATTTCTAGCACGGTAACTCGTCGGGCGCTCTCAAGTGGTTTCTTAGTCATGTTTATATAAACTTTTAATTTATTTTTATATGCGCGTTCATCATTTACATTGTTGGTCTGTTTTTGGCCTCAGACATTCAAATCTTTTCTGCCTGTCAAACGGTCTGTCTATTTTGTCCTTCGAAACATTTATCTGTTTGCACGTCGCATTGTAAGCAGGATGTTTTGTTCACTATAAATGATATAAAACAAGGACGAACCCAAAATAACAAATATAAAAAAAAAAATTAGTCCATCTTCTCCATTGTTAGAGTTCGAGGGTAGTATAATTGTCCGACGTATGGAAATCGAGTTGTCTGACACAAAAAAGAAAGTGAATGAGGAAAACGACAAATGATGGAGCGGTGTCCTATAATGTATTTGCGTGTATATGTGCTTTCGTCGATGGCTATTTGACCTGCTGTAGATGTGCGTTTAAGTGTGAAATTGTTATGTATATCGGCCCGAATCTATCCTTGAGATATATGCCTTTACAAATAGACGTGTAGAAATTACAACCAATCATACTGGACAGAACATAAAAATACAGCAAATTAAAAAAAAAAGAAGAAAAAAAAAAGAAATGCAACCATTCAATAAAAAAAAAGAAACCTCTTCAAAATACGCTGTGTGTTTTTTTTTTCCCTCATTTCTACACAAAAGTTGCCATATAGATAAAAGGGATCATGACACTAAAAAGAGACGGCCTCAAACCTCTTCTCACTTCCAATGCGTTCTGCTTAACAAGCTTTCAATACAAAAAGACTTTTTAGCTTTTAACTATCTACCTCAACCTGTTTATCTATCTATCTATCTATCTATCTATCTATCTATCTATCTATCTCAGCCTGTTTATATCTATCTATCTATCTATCTCAGCCTGTTTATATCTATCTATCTATCTATCTATCTATCTATCTATCCGCCAATTTATATGTATGAATCTATCTATCAGCCAGTTCATATCTATCTATCTATCTATCTATCTATCTATCTATCTATCTATCTATCTCAGCCTGTTTATATCTATCTATCTATCTATCTATCTATCTATCTATCTATCTATCTATCAGCCAGTTCATATCTATCTATCTATCTATCTATCTATCTATCTATCTATCTATCTATCTTCGATGGTCAGGACATGTAACAATAATGGAAGAGTCAGGGTTTCCACGTCAGTACTTATTCAGTGAGCCCACTTGAAGGGAAAGTCGACAGGGTTGCTCCCTTCGAAGATACAAAGACCAACTGAAAAGAGCACTGGAAGCCACTGGACTTGAACTTAAATTTTCTGAAACACAATTCACAAGACCGTATAACCTGGCGATGTATTGTCACCATCAGAACCAAAATTTCGATGCCATCAAAAGAGAAAAGGAAGAATTCAAACGATAAGAGAGAAAGACATGGAAAAATCGACCTCATCCTTCACCAACATTACTGTGCAGTCAATGCCATCGGCTCTTGCATGCAAGAATAGGTCTACTTAGTCATCAACGCAATCATCATAAGGGAAGCGATCAGGAAAGAAGAAATTAAATTCTTGGAAAGGAGATAAAGCCGCTGATGACTTTAGTCAGTTCTCTGTCGCACTTAAATAAATATGAACATGAGGACG